CCCCAAAACCCCAAAACCCCAAAACCCCAAAACCCCAAAACCCCAAAACCCCAGAGTGTTTGAAAACGACTGAAATGAATTAATTTAAACTGATAATAGAATAAAGACCAAGATGATCTGAAGGAGTTCTTACAACATCATCTTCTCTGATCTCGTTAATTAAGTCTCTCCCGAAGTTTCTTCAGCAGTAATTTCCTACTCGCTTGATGTACTTCGGTATGAACTGGGAACTGTTGGAAAGGAGCACGTGATCAAGGACAACAGGCTTGAAACGAGTAGTCCCATTCATAGTGAAGGCCTCTTCGTTCTTATCCCTAAGCTCTGTCCAAAGATCTGTGAAGAGCTTGGTATCAAGGTTTTTGCCCTCATCTGGCCAGTTGAAGTCGAAATTGAGATCACCCATGAATATTGCGTCCTTGTGTTTAAGGATTTCCGTCTGGATATATTCCATTTGTTCTTTTCGTTTCGTAGCATTGTCCAAACTTTCAAGATGAGTTGTCCCTACAATGAAAGTTTGACCGTTAAAGACAGTTTCAGCGGCTAGAAACCCTCTGTCCATCCATGTATTTTTGTAAGTATAATCGTAGAAATAGCAAGGCCACTTGCATAGGATTAGAAGGCCGTAATCAATAATGGTGTTTCCTGAAAAATAGTACCTATCTCTGATGTACTCATCCTGGACCAATTTTTCGAAGAAAGGGGCTATAACTTCTTGAAGTCAAATGAAATCGGCTTTTGACTCTTTGATCATTTGAATGATATTTTTAAATCTCTCATCCATATTCTTATTTCTTGAACCATATATTTTGGGTATAGAAGGACAAGCTGCTAATGTCCGTTGGGCAACAAAGCTCTGGGTTATCGACTGAGATCGAAAGTTCTCAGTTCAGATCTCAATCTATCCACTCCCTTCCGTTGTATCTATGTGTGGGTACTAATTTCCGTTGATCTAACGTCGGAATGTAGTCACTTAAATTTCCTTCTTCCTCGGTCCTGATAACTTCATTCGAGAAAGAGAGGATTACATCTCTTGGCATATCGGTTTTTATTGGCACTGAGAAACACTTCCTAAGCGTTGTCCTCGGTGGAGTTTGGAACCTTTCTGGGGACTCTTCCATGGTGGGAACTTAACTTTTTATTTCAATTTAAATATTAGTCTTTGGGGTTTTGGGGTTTTGGGGTTTTGGGGTTTTGGGGTTTTGGGGTTTTGGGG